CTGATTCCATTCTTCAAGTTTCCACCCGGTCCGGGCTATTTGATTAGGCACTATTATACTTTACATCAAGTCGAAGGTGTCGCTAATATCATAATCATTATTGTACTGGTACTGCCGACAACAATAGGGTGTGTGAGAGTTCCGCTAGTCACCTCAACAACGAGAGAGTAATTGGGTTGTACTTAACGTATCTAAGTACGTAGATTGTATTTTTAGTCTTTCCCGCTTCACATTTTCAACGGACTCTGCCACCCTAAACGGTAAACCTGTATACAGAATGACCTCAGTCAATTACCTGGGTGTCACCATCGACAGCAGTCTTCATTGGTCTACACATATCTACAACTGTATGGAAAAACTGAGACGCCTATCTTTTCAGTTACGCAAACTCAGGCAATGCCGAACCCCAAAGTCACTCCTGNCATTCTACTTTATTGCCCCCCGTAGTGTTTCCCGGTCTTTTAAAACAAGACTTCAAAACGATTTGCCGTGGTTTGATTATCATCAGTCGTGCATCATTAATTCCGATTGACTCACTAATTAAAGATTTAATGGACGGTCACATCAACTCTTGCGTTAAATTTGCCCATAAGATTCTAGATGACCCTCTTCTCATACACTGCATCCCGACCTATCATCTTGTCGTTCCCACTCGTACACATGCTCCTCATTTCGGCATCTACCCTCTAGCATTATAATTTATAAAAATTCCACTGTACCCTGCCTGGCCCGACTCCTAACCAAAAAGGAACAGGTTACAAGTGAACTACATCAAAGGTTTTGTACATGAAACAAATTTTAGCGACACTCTTTACCTTTTGTGTTAAATTTTATTATTATTATTATTATTATTTCATTCCGCGTGGCGAACAGTGTACATTTTTAACTGAAATTTAAGCATATATGTTTACACAAGTTACATAAATATAAATACAAATTATTATATACGGGCAGTCGTGCTTGGGTTGATTGTCGGCAGTGACTACCACGTGTTTTGCTCCCTTGATCCACAAACATCTGCAAGTTTTGGAACAAACTTTGACAGCGGACCACAGTGATTAATCATCCTTGCTGTCCATATCTGCTTGTTTGTCCGGTTTCCGGCTGAGGGGAATGTTGCGCTTCCAGTTTTGTTCTGGTGAGACTCATCTTTCCCGGGGGGTTGAACTTCAATATTTCGAATTGGAATTGTGAGCCCTCACACATAGTGGTGTGAGATAGTTTTTCTGTTGGTTCGTTTTTTCCTCCGCGGATTCGTTTCCCAGTGCACTGCAGTATTTCATCTATAGTCATTATCTGCCTGTTTATATTCTCCTGGTTTCGTCTGTGAGAACCGACGCAAGTTCTAGCCTCATTGGTCTCCAGAAGCTGGAAAAACAAAAGGACTGCTGTGGATCACGCATCCAAGATGAAAAAATCCTTTGGGGTGAGAGAATTAAAAGAGGATTAATGGGTAATTATTAATATTACTATCAATCTGTGCATTGAGTTAAATCGCATATGTTAATACCGGGTCGCATATAGCACTTAGTGTTTGATTGTTTAAAAGCATTTTACTTCATCCGATTTGACGCTGGAGCATTTAACTAATCTAATCAATAGTTACAGACACCAGAAGGGACATGGCTGAGTATCACAAACACCGATGCCCGTACATCTGCTCCCTTTCTGTGCATATATAGTTGGTCGGCGATTTGATGGCATCCCACTTTAAACTCTTCAATTTACCCCTTTACTGATTGATCAAATGGGTAGCCAAAAGAATTAGACCACGACCGGGTCAGGTTAATGGGTGTGGAAAGTGAAATGGAAACAAATGAATACAAATTTTACGCCTCAGTTCTGTACGAGTACTGAACGATAGGTTACCGGATGCATAAAAAGTTGTATTGCATTGTATTGTGTATTGTGCATAACTTTTGCAAGCACTGGAGCTCACATTTCAGTTAAAAAAATCATACACGCTAACCGTCACAATATACATAATAAACTGTGAGAAAATTTTGACGGATATGGGGACATTTCATAATCCAAGATTAACAGAAAGTTCACTTATTGTTCGCTCCTTTTCAATGAATAAACGAGCAAGATACGGTATAGGTGAATTGCGGTAATCGTTAATTCGAACTGAAATTTGACGGAATTGGGAGCGTGCTGAATGATGAGAACGACAACAAGTCAGTTCTGCGTGCAATGGATGGTCAGGATCTGTGCGAATCCTCTCAGCAAATTTCACACAGGAAGTTACGTGATACTCTGAAAGCTCTAAAGCTAACTCATTCACAGGAATAGAAGAGACACGTCTAATAATGGTTAAACCACGGCGTAAGAATTTGAAATCCTGTTTGAGTAAGCCAGGAGAAATAGCCGGGGAACAGTAGACAGACGGGGAAAACATACTGATAAACAAAGTTGGAAATAACTGACTGGGATGCGTGAAACTGTCCGAGCTTTTTATGCCCGAAAATGAGCAATGGATGTTATCGAAGTATTCTCCACTAGCATTAATGCACAGTTCCGTGCGCTGAAACCATTTGGTGAAACAGCAGAACCATGCCGAAGCAGGCAATCTTTGAAGTGTAGGATTTATGCCTATAGAAGTTATTAAAATACAATACAATACAAGCCTCCTTCGGCTGTTGATGGCTCGTATCGGATTCCACGCATCTTGACATTTGTGAACACAGTGCCTCTGGAGGGCGCAAACGATCAGCATTCTGCTGCTGCTTTCAACCACATTTTAGTCGTAGAACATCATTGCCCTCCAGTGACATCGATTGAGTTCCATCTTAACAACAGTCCGATTATAGCGACTCTCGTATGACCTGTGAGTTGTTGCTATTTGGTTACCTATGTGTTGTAATCACTGAACAATATTCACAACAGTAGATTACAGTTCATCTTTTCCTTGCCCGGTCATCTGCACATCGTACTCGTTTGCAACGTAACCGAAGGCTTTTTTCTTAGCCCTCTTAAAGCGCAGACAAATGAGAGAAAAAAAGTAAACCCACGAAACAGATTGCGTCAGCTCAAATGTAAAAACCCATGACTAGCTTCACTTGTTTAAACAAATGAGAACACACTCTGGTACTTTATGAAAACCGTTTGGGAAATATTCATTTTCCGTACCCTTGTATAACACAATCAAGTGCATCACGCATACGCCATTTAGTCCAAATGGAGTTCACACTCAGTTTGATCCAGATCTCTTCTTATACTCACCGAAGTGCTCTCTCAATGTATGGTATGTAAAGTACAAGGAAAACGTTTTAGGTATGTAAGTATTCAGCGCAGTCAAATCGTCGCAAATCTCTACGAATAGCTCTCCTGCTGAATCCATGCAAATAATCAGCTGAACGGGATGTTTAGTTGTTCCCCGGAATCTTCCATAGAAGAGAAATTTCGTCAGCTGTCTGTTCTTTGCAATTCCTCGCGATATATAGATTCTAGAATACTTTTTAGAATTCTGCATTGTATTTTCTTTTCTATTACTTTTCTAATTTTCTCAGACAAAAAGCAATGAATAACTTCAAATGTGTCGGTTAAGAAAACAAAACCGTTCATGCACCACAGTGCATCTGTGGGTGGATTTCTTTAGCTGAAAAAGCACAAATCAGAACAACTTGCCATCCGAGGAAGCATTCACAAAAGATAGGAACAGCTCAGCTGATGTGTCCTAGTTCTTTTTTTAGGCTAGGCTGATGACTCTCCCGGCTGAAATAGATGTTATTGATTGCCGGTGTACTGAACTCGATATTTCTTCATTTTGCGGAACTTTTCTTTTGTGCCAGATCGCCTCTTATTCAAATGTGTCCAGAAAATCCGTGAAAGAATTACACGAGATTTTTGAGGTTTTATTACGCAGCTCGTTGCACGTAACCCTAGGCGGGGCGGGTTGAGAATGATGATAAATTCGAGATTGAATCTGTTCGGTTTTCTAAGTTTCGGAAACACGTCCCTTTACAGGACTTTAAAAAGCCATTTGCATTTGATTTCCGGTTAAATGTGGAATGCATGTAAACGTCTTGCCGAAACTTTGCACAAACCGAATGTTCCGTATTGGTTTGATTCTCAATCGTCACGTTTCCTTGTGTAACGGTGTTTATACAATAGTATTGATAAAGTTTATACGCAACGGAATTTACTGTGTAGTGTTCCCTTTATAAAAATCGGATTCAAAAACCGGACTATGTAGGCGGTAATCCGGTCTGGCGATTCACTGTTGATAATTGTTTGGAAAGCTCATCTCCCTCCTCATACACACACACACACGCATTCACTCTTGTTTGTCCACGAGTTGACATCTGACCGGAAATGCAACGGGAACAGCTGTGCTGTACGCGCAGTAGCCACTTCGGAATTAGCTCTCTCTCTCCTAATGTGTCTCTGTCCAAATCCAACGCGGAGAATGCACAGCACGGGCCTTGGAACGGATAAAGCAGCCAAAACAAAATACTGTCGAACATGTGCACATCACCAAGTTACTCGCAGATGTTAATCGCGTCAGCCCCTCCCACACCCCTCGTAATCCGTCTCAAACGATACTTCATGATGGGGCCACAGATACCTCCCAGTCCCTCTGATCGGGTTCACAACACAGTGGCGGCATTTCTCCCCAAACACAGTTACTCTTTTCCATCCGATCAATTTTCTGACATGGAATTGCCCATGTTCCTCCTCAATTCGGATTTCTCCGGGATTGCCAACTTCTCGGGGTTCGATGACATTTTCCATCCTGATGACATGCCTCACAAGGATTGATTGCTGATGCAACCCCCGTGAATAGTTAGTTACATCTTGATTGGATTGTTAGTCACTAGGTGGGTGGGTTATGGTTGAGGGCGGAAATCGCAATGCAAGATTCCATCTCCACTGGCTTCGTGGGTGCTAATTAGGCACTTGGGGAAACTTGTTGTGCTGAAGACCAGGTTGTCCAAATGTGGCAATACCTGTCCCTATTGAATTGTAAACGAGGTTGAGATGTTGTGTAGCTTGTGTCGGAAAATTGGTATTGAGCCATTCGCCGTAAATAGCGATTTTGGCTTAGTTGATGGTGAAACTTTTAAAAGAAATTCGCTTGCCAAACGTTTTGAGCATCTGAACTTTGGTTTTCATCTGTGGTGCTTTGGTATGCACTGAACATTTTAGGTATCTCATATTTTCGGATTAGTGCATGATAAGTGCTTTGACTATTGTCGTAAGGATTTTGAACATTACTGTAATGCCCAAGTCATTCGACTTTAGGGTTAGCTTCTTTTCTGGAAATGAAGTTTTCTGACTTGTGATTTAGTTGCAAAAAGTGGCCTGCCTTTCATTGGGCGTGTCCCAATTTGAACAGTTTTTTACTAGCCCGTGGATCATTTCCCATGCAGACATGCTTAGCGTGTGATCAATTAAAAAGGTGTCCAAAAGGTAACTAAGTCGGAGTTACGTTTGATTCAGAAACGCACTTCGCCCCTTTTTGATTCACATGTTGACGGTAGAAGATGTTTTGCTTTCGCCTTGGACCGAATCTACACGCTAGTGATATTCACACTGGAGAAGGACCATTCATTGTAGAATCATTAGTAAAGAATACTTATCGAAGTGATATCAACCATTCATTCATTCGTTCGAAACACGGTAGATCGTATTAGAGATACCATATATCATCAGCTTGCAGACAATCATGATACCAAAGCCACTATAATAATAACGGATTGGATTATAGAACAGAGTGTAAAAAGGTTAAACAGTCAGAATGGGAAACAATAGATAACAGGAATAAGAGCAAATGTATCTGTGTTTCATTGTNNTCATTGTACTTTTTTAGATATATTTTTTGCGTGTTAGTTTGTGAATGGGCAAGCCGTCAGCTTCGCAGGTCCTTCCGCTCACACCCAAGTCTTCCCTACCGGTGACCCGGATGAGATGGAACAGCTTACAAGGATTTCCCATAGCGGTAGCATGTTCCATCTCTGATGCGTGTTGAGTTAACCGGATCTTGCGGTCTCCATCTAGGTTTACTTGGTGTTGGTTCCGGGGAGGAGATCCCATCACGAATAGCAAAAGCTAATTCAGCTTTTGGCAACTTGCCACATCTGTGGTGTCACAATGCCATCCGACTGTTCCTTAGGGGAAGGGTATACATCGCCGCGGTTCGGAGTGTTCTGCCTTACAGTTGTGAGACTTGGCTTTTCTGAGCGGAAAATGTTAATCGACTTTCTGTCTCCGAAGTATTGCCTATGTCGAGTGAGCAATGGCCCGATTCGTCGTCTTGTGTTGGGTGCGGATAGTCGTTCTCTAACAGAAGTAATCGCTCTATACCGCCTCCAATGGCTTGGTCACGCATTGCGTATGCCTACCCATCATCTACCATTCCGTGCTCCTTTTGCACCCGCTGAACAGGGATGGAAAAAGCACCGCAATGGTCAGACCATGACATAGTGCAGAGGTATGAAGAAGCTAGCTTCTGCATTGGCTTCGGTTGTTGCAGTAGCTCGCCTTCCAGGCTGGGGTCCAAGGGATAAGGATTGTCGTTGGTTAAAGACGCTAAGAGATATGGCGCAGAATGAAAGCCAGTAATAAGAAGATTGTACGGTCTTCCTGTTGAAATCCCATGCTCCGCAAAAAAACTGGCTCATTTTTCGTTTGCTTTTCCTCATCACTGGTCGTCCAGAGGACGATTCATTCTCATTTGTTTCTGCTCAACAATTTTTACACGTTTTTGTATCAGACAGTCACGAGGTTAGACAGTGCACACAAGCACTGTTCCTGAAATCGAATACCTAGCAGAGAGGGCGAGGAATAGTGGAAAACGGGGAGCAATGGGTGTGTTTCAAATGTGTATGTGTCTGTTCTAATCCCCATTTATCTCCCAGTCCATGTGAGCAATGTGAGTCGAGTGCACTCTGCTTCACACACACACACACACACACATCACTTCTGCAGTAAAAGCAAATTTTGGATTTTATTCAACAGTAGCCTTAACAATCTTAACTTAATTAGTTGCTTTTTCTTTAGTCCTATTCCCACAGCTCCAGTCTTTTGAGAAAGAAAGCAAATTGGAATATACTTAAAATAAGTACGATTAACTTAAATCGAGGAACGCTTGAAGGAAATTTCAAAACAAATGATACACACAATCGTCACTGTGTGCGACAATTGCCCCGTATGCCCTTCACTCGACATGCACTGTGTATTATAACCCGAGAGAGATTGGTATCGATCTGTCCACCTGGCCCGCTGATCAAAACTTTCGAAACATATGGCTCAGTTTTAGACTGATCGCTTTTTTCTCCTACTAGAAAGTCTAGCAGAGTAGGGCAGGGCAGGGGTGGGATAAACACAATACATATATATCAAATCCCATAATCCAAGCAATTCAATCACCTGCATTCCAGCCCCCAACTCGGTTATTTCAGTCTGGCACTGCTATCAGTTTGGAGTGGATCAAAGCTTAACAATTCGCCCAGCGTAAACGATATGATCAGTTGGTGGTCATAGCTATATGCATACATTTCTCTCATCTGTTAAATTGTATTAATTAGACCATAATATATGAATATTCAGCAGACTTTAGTCTTTGAAGGATTTGTCAGTAGTCGCACTACTTTTGAGTTGCCGAAAACACTACAAGCAATCTTAATAAGGATTCACAATCGCTGGTTATGGCTGGGCAAAGTTTCATCCGCAAGAGCAATAAGTGTTGTGAGAAGACCCTACTCCTCGGGAAGCTAGTTTCGAGTAAACTTATCCTTCATCCTTAAAAGACTGGTCACTTGCCTAGGGTTCGAAAAACGCATTATTACCTAATGAAGCCAGTTTTCTTAATGACCGAAGTGTACTAACAAGCGTTTAGTCAATATTCTCCAAATCTCCTGGATGAACTTTCATCTCGTACCTCGTCAACCCGGATCATACATTTTGCTTTTTCTCTCGTTTACATGAGAACACCACAGCCGTGCGAAGATTGTGAATAGAACTTCTCCAGCAGGTGTTCTAACAGCAGCTACACTCTGTGAAAGCATCTAATGGGGTTAAAGACGAGGCCTCAACCACTCTTAGAGAACTTCGAATCCGTTGAGGGTCGTGGCGATAGTTTAGAGACCAACGAACATTCTGCAAAACGGAGTAGCCACGTTTACACAGTGACTGCTTGGATTACCTCATTCGGTTTTTCACAGGCATCTGGCACTATTGATGGTCTTGGGTATGGGTTTCACTTCTTCGGAGATCGTTAATTCCCCACGAGGTAAATGCATTCAAATGCGATGAAAATGTTTGTGATAACCGACAAAGAGCACTGGACAGCTATTTCGTCTTGTGTTCGGAACTCGTGAGCAGTGCCTACTTCTTGTGTCTCCATCAGGACTCAGACCGCGAACATTGAATAAGTATAAATACTATTCCCAGTGTTTTGAGTTTGTGGGTTATCTGTGAGTATGTTTAGTGGCTCTGTTTTATAAAATGGTCTTTTTCAGTTGGTCCATTTCTGTCTCAGTGACAGAAAATAATATCATTGAGTATCGGAGAGTTTGTTTCATCTGAATCCAATGTTTTTACTGTAACTAATCAATAGATTCAGACCGCTCGGTGATGCGGAGGAAAATAAATTTCCCGAGTTAATTTCTCGCTAATATCGTGGCTTCGAAAGGGAGATGAAAGCGAATATGGTAGTTTGTGTACTGCTTTATTCCTAAGTCACCACAACACCAGCGGTATGACAGACATACTGGTCCAGTCAAACAAATACTGTGTACAGATTTTACTGCCTATTCGATGGCTCCCATGTATAATTCAATCTCAAAGCAATATCTTTACCATGCGGAACACCAAGATTACATTCCGGTTCGCGCTGTACAACCCGCGCGATTTGATGTGACATCATTTTTCACTTTCTGTGAGGTTCGCGTGCGTATTCACCATCTCTCTTTCCCTCACACAAAAGCGCGCAATCAGTCCAAAGGAATGCTATCACACCCTATAGAGACTTCAAGTATCACTTCACATTATAGATTTGCACGTTCCTATAGTTTCATGATCCCAGCTGCATCGTGATAATCATGTTCTTTTCATGGTTTCTATGGTTTACACGTACGCACGCACGCGCACCTACACGCGTATACCCAACAAACCAAGCGTATCAGTCACGATCAAGACTCTAGCGCAGCTTTTCATGGGGTCACACATACACGTTGACAAACAATCTCTGCACAGCTATATAGTTAGTCACATGTGAGCGAGCCAAGAGAAGAAGAACTAAGTCCCTTNAAGTCCCTTTAATTGTCCATTATCACGGTGATTTCCAGGCAAAACTACTTCGATCATTCCGGTCATCGTTTGATGAACTCTGATGAACTGATTCTCACCCCCTTGCTCTACGAGAATACCGAATTCAGTGTGCAAGTTAATCCCAGGTAATACGGGATACATTCCTGTCTCAGAATGAACACCCTGTAACCGCAAGGCTAGTTGGTTGGTCTATCACCTCGATCAACAAGCATTTGGTTAGGTAATCTCATTTTCGTTACTTGGATGAACCTAATCGACTCATAAAATCCTACCAACACATCGAAATTAGCAGACTATTAATATTCTTTGAATGATCCATATGAATAACCACCATCTTATTGCTACACTGAATACAAATGCCCGAGTGGTCATCTCGTCCAAATGGAGTTTATATTCATGACACCAACTTAGAATAATCTCGTCTGCCTTCAGACTCTATGCCAAACCAATCACAGTACAATAAAAAGAAAAGAAAAACGATCCATAAT